GGCAACGCGCCGACGCCGGACATCGCAGAGGTCATCAGGCTCGTCGGCCAGGGCGGCGCTCCCGCTGGCATTGGCGGAGCTCACGTGCATCGGTTTCGGCGTCTGCCGAGTGCTGCTGAGGCCTGGGCTGCTATCAGGCGCGGAGTCGCTGCGGGCTTTCCACGGCCAGCTGGCGACACCCTCAACCTCGAGTTCGACGCGGGAAACGTGCTCGGGGTGGCCGCCGGCGTCCACGCCCTTGTCGACCCGAGCGCACCTGCCGCTGCCCCCGCTGCCGTGGCTGCTGACGGCGCCCCAGGGCTGGGCGGGGGGGTAGGCGCCTCGGTCGCTGCCCTGGGTGGCGATGCACCCCCGCTTGCCGCCCCTGGCGCCGGAGCGCCTCCCGCAGCCGCGCCGGCGGTCCCTGGGGCCTTATCGGTCCCTCCGCCGGCCGCCGCGGCCACTGCTGCTCCGGCCGCTGCCCCTGCGGCGCCCGTCGTGGCGCAGCCCGTCCTGGCGCCTGTGCCTGGGCCCCCGGCCGCTGGCGCTGGCGCGGCCCCTCCCGACCCGCGGGTCTTGGCGGCCTCCTTCGACGTGCTGGGGCATTGGCACATCGAGTTCAGGGAGGGCGTGCTGAGGTTGGTCGAGCATCCCTGGCCAGACTGGAGGCTCTCTGGGCCTAGGACGCGCCTCTGGGTCTGCAGATTCATCTGCGAGAACGGGGGCGCGCCTCTCGGGCGGCATCAGATGTTCAAGACGACCTTCCGCCTCACCGACTCGGACGTCGGGGTCGTGGAACATGAGGAGTGCTGCCGCATCCTGCAGGAGGGCGTCTGCTACGACCAGCTCAACGTTGCGTCGCTGGCCTCCATCGAGGCCGTCAGCCGGTCTCTCCAGGTGCGGGAGGAGAGGCGCCGGCACCGCCTGAACGACGAGAACGATGACGAGGGGTATGACCGGCACCTCTTCCTCGGGAGCCAGCACTCCCGGGGGAACCTCTGCGTTTGCCCGCTGCTGCAGTCCTTCGTGGCCGCAGAACTGGCCCGCGAGGCCGCGCTTGCCAAGGAGCGCCGCAAGGCGCGCGAGGAACGAGCCCTCCCGAAGCCCTCCGCCAAGAAGCCTGGAAAGGAGGGACAGCGAGGGCAGGGCGGCGATGCGCGATCGCCCCGCGGCGGGGATCTTGGGCGCCCCCGCCGCTCCACCAGCCCACGGCGCTCTCCGCTCCTCTCAGGCCATGGAGGAGGTCCGCCAGCGCGACCTCTTCCCGCTGCCCGCCTTGGAGCTTGAGACCGACAACTTTGACAAGGTCCCTGTCAGCCGCTGCGTTGCCCGCCGCCGTCTTCACGCTGCCCATGCTGATCGTTGGGCAACCGAGGGCGTGGCCGCGTTGAATGACTTGCATGGCAGTTTTGTTTCCAGCTCCGGCGTCAGCCTCAATGCAGGTCAGCCACTGGCCCTGGATCACGTTCGCCGCAGCTATCGACGTGTCGGCCAACCTCCTGCAGACCTCCTTTCAGGACACGGAGCCCTTAGTGCGCTCCTGCCAGGCGCGCCCGGCTACACCAGTGGTGGCGGGCCCGTCGCTCCCTACGACGGCGACAAGATCGCCTGGCCTTCCACTTCCAGCAAGCCCATCCCGTTGACCGACTTGCTCGGCGAAGCGGACGCCTCGTGGTTTAGGGATTGGAAGGGGCACATGCTACGACCGTCTCAGGCTGCTCGGAGCCCCCGCGCGGAGGCCTGCACTCGGGGCGCATGCGTCGACCCGGTGCTGAAGCACAACGTTCGTGAATATGCCACCTTTTTCTGAGAGGCCTGGCGCCGTGGGATGCTGACTTGGAAGCATGGGCACGGCGGCGACCTCGGACTGTTTTGCGTCAAGCGCAAAGACGAACGCCTTCGGATCATCTTCGACGCGCGGGCCATCAACTGCGACTTCGTGTCTGCCCCTTCGACGCGCTTGCCTACTCCTTCGGCTTCCGGCGCGCTGGAGGCGGATCAGAAGGTCTTCATCGCCTCGGGGGACTTGGAGGCGGCTTTCTATCACATGCTGGTTCCGCCTGACATGGTCGGGCGTTTCCCCTTGCCGAGCCTGGACGCGGGGCTGTTGCTGAACTGCGGGGTCTCCGACTTGGCAGCTGGCGCGGGGCAGCCGATCGGGCCGTGTCTGCGCGTGCTGCCCATGGGCTTCTCGTGGGCCCTCCACCTGTGCCAGGGCGTCCTTCGGCGCGGCATCAGCCTCAGCGGCTTCCCGGCGAGCAGCCGCGTCGAGGACGGTCAGCCCGGGCGGCAGGCGCGGCATGGAGAGCCCCCCGTGGCCGCCGGCTACGTGGACAACTTCTTCGCGATGGGCGCGGAGGCCAGCAGCACGGACCGCCACTGCGACAGCGTGCGCTTCCAGCTCGAGAGGCTGGGACTCGTTGTTCACGACCGGGTGCCGGCCAGCCACGACGCGGAGTTCTTGGGCCTCAGCCTCTCGGAGGGTCGGTTCTTGGCAGTCCGGCCCAAGTGCTTGTGGCGTCTACGGCTGTCGATCGAGAGGCTCCTCCGCATTGGCAAGTGCAGCGGGCTGCTCATGAAGGTCCTGCTTGGCCATGTCACTGGGTCGGCGCTGCTCAGGCGTGAGGCTCTGCGCCTGCTGCAGGCGTCGTGCGCGTTCGCCGCCGAGGCCGGCAGCCAGCCTCTAGCGCTGTGGCGCTCGGTGCGTGAGGAGCTGTGCCGCGTGAGGTGCCTTCTTCCTCTGCTACAGGCCGACGTGCTCGCTGGCTGGCATGGGCTGGTGGTCGCGCCCGACGCATCCGAGTTCGGGCTCGGGCTTGTGCGGCGGCGGCTCCCGCCCGACCGAGTTGCGGAGCTTGGGCGTCAGTCCGAGCGTTGGCGCTATCGAGTCGAGGGTGGTTCACGTGCCCGTGAAAGAGCTCTGCGTCACCTCGACCCCATCGTCACTTCCTCTGCCGAGCTCTTCATCATCCACATCTCCTGGAGGCCCCTTCCTGAACGTTTCGGTGGCCGTCTTCGACGAGATCCCTGGAGATGTTCTTGAGGCTTCGTCTTGGGCTGGCGCGGCCGCGGTGCAGATCTCGGAGGGCCCCAACATCTTGGAGCTCGAGGGGGAGCCTCTGGTGCAGTCCGTCATGTTCTCCGGAGTTCGCAGGCTCACGGTCAACGCATTGTCGCTCTGGTCGATAACCTGCCCCTGGCCCTTGTGGACACCAAGGGGAGAGCACAGGGCCTCTTCAGAAGCTAGCAGCTCTCAGACTGGCCTCGGGATCTCGGGTCTACGTTCGGTGGATCGCCTCAGAGCTCAACCCCTCGGACCCGTACCCACTTGGGCTCAGAGGGTGGTTCTCGGGCGCGCGCCCTTTTCGCGCCTGGGCCGAGCCTTCTCCAGCTGCCGAGACAGGCGGTTCCGACTGGCCGGCAGCTGATGGCACGGCGAGCTCCCCGGGCCTTGGGCGGCAGTCGGCAGTCGCAGACGCGCGCCACACTGGCGCGGAGCCTGCTGCAGGGCAGGAAGCCCGTCACCGGGCTCACCTCGTTGGAGCAGCTGGCGATCAAGGAATCGACCGAGGAGCTCTACCGCTCGGCGTGCCGCAAGTTCACGGATCACTGCATCCTCCACCAGATCTCCTGGGCCACCCTCCGCGAGCTGGACTTGGCCGTGCTGTTCTTCCTCAACAGCCAGTTCCACTCTGGCGTGGCGGCGGCCGAGGGGAGCCAGCTGCTTGCGGCCCTGACGCACTTCCTGCCGGAGGTGCGGCGCGCTTGCAAGTCGGGGCTTTCTCAGAGCTGGCGCGCGGCGGTGGCCTGGGAGCGTCGGGTGCCCAGCTTCACACGCTGCCCGCTGCCGCGATCGGCGACCTTCGCGATCGCGGGCGTCATGCTTGCCCTCGGCCAGTCGCGGATGGCGTTGTGGATCATGGTGTTTTTCGTGTGCTACCTCCGCCCGTGCGAGTGCTTCAAGCTGAAGGCGCAGCACTTGGTGGCTCCTTCCGCCAAGGCGGGGCCCGCCTACCAGGCGCGGGGGCTCCTCCTGCTCCACGACGCGGCGGAGGCCCAGCCGGGCAAGACGGGCCTCTTCGAGGAGTCGGTGCTCGTGGACCTGGACGCGCGGCTCAACCCGCTGCCCGAGGCGCTCTCGAAGGAGACGCCGCCCGGGCAGCTGCCGTGGGCTTTCAGCCCTGCGGATCTCCGCAAGGTGTTCGTCCAGGCCGTGTCGCTGCTGGGCTTGGACAGCCTCAGGCCTCACCTCTACTCCCTCAGGCACGGCGGGGCGTCGGACGACCTCCTGTCCAATCGGAGGACAGTGGAGCAGGTCCGTCCTCGGGGACGCTGGAAGGCAGCCTCGTCGATGGCCAGGCACGCCGTGGAGTCCAAGCTGTTGCGCGAGATCGGCCTCGGCCCGGACAGCACCTACTTGTTCGGGGCCCTCGTGGAACAGAACATCCGGGAGCTCGTGGGCAACGGCTTCATCCACGCGGGGATCATCGACCAGGTGCCCGACCCGCTAAAGCTGCACATCGCACGCCTGGCCACGGCGACTGCTGCTGGCCCGCCGGGTTTCGCCCTTCTGAGCTCCGCCCGAGCGGCGCGGAAGCGGCCAGCCAGCGCAGGCAGCGCAAGGCCGGCCGCTCGCCGCCGCTGAGCCGCACACCCGCCGGCATCCTGCGCCGGCTGCGGCAGGAGCTCCAGGTTGCCATGCAGAGGGCCACGCGGCGGCGCCACTGCGTCTTTCTGGAGCTGTTCGCAGGCTCGGCAGGGATTTCAAAGAAGTTGCGAGCTGCTGGCTACGGCGTCGTTTCCATTGACATTCAGTACGGTGTTCATGGGAATTTACTAGTGCGGTGTGTTGAGCGTCTCATCAAGGGGTGGATTAGCTCCGGCCTCGTGCTCGGCGTTTTCCCCGGCACGCCCTGTACGTCATGGTCTCAGGCGCTCCGGCAACCGCTGCGGAGCGTAGATGCCCCCATGGGCCTTGACGTGCTCACTGACTCACAACGTGCTCGTCTGACTTTGGGTAACGCCACGTTTTCCGTCACCTGCAGGCTCATAGACGTGTGCAGACGCGTTCGTGTGCCAGCTTTCCTGGAGAGCCCAGACAGATCGTTGATGTGGCTGGCTCCTCGTCTGATCAGTCTGACTCGTGGCTCTGACTTCTCAAGCGCTCGTTTTCATCAGTGCCAATTCGGGACGCCTTGGAAAAAGTGCACTCGTATCGTTTCCTGGAATGGAGGTTGTCTCTCGCGGCTGCAGCGCTGGTGTCACGCCAGCGGCAAGATCTGTAGTAGAACTGGCCTGCAGCATCAGGAGCTCGCAGGCAGGGCTCCAGGTGGAAAGCACTGGACCGCCATTGCCGCCGCCTATCCACCAGCGCTCTCAAAAGCTATTGCCACGTCAATGATAGAGGCTGCTGAATCTCTTATGGTTTCGACGCTCTGGAACAGGTTTAAACCGTGAGTTTTTGTTTCGGCCTTCCTGGCCATTCGTTTTCCTGTTCGGGTCTGGGAGTCTCTCCGAGTTGCGCCTGAGCGCTAATCATTTGCCGCTGTGAATGATGGGCCTTGCTCCAGATACGATAAAAAAAAAACAGTGTCTGGCGATCCCAGGGGGGCTGAGGGCTAAGTCTCTGGTCGCTTTTGACAAGCTGAAGTGACGTGTCTGTGCCCCGAGGGCTCGCCGCATCGACGCCTGCCGTCGACGTGTCTGCTCAAGTCTTCCCTCCCTCCTCTCCCTGCTTCGCCTCGCCTCCCCTTTTCGCTCCTGCTCGTCTTGCTGGTCGCTCTCAGAAGGTCTAAGTTCACGTGCGCGTTTTTGCTGAAGGGGGTCTCTCTGAGTTGCGCCTGAGCGCTAATCATTTGCCGCTGTGAATGATGTGCCTTGCTCCAGACACGATAAAAACAGTGTCTGGCGATCCCAGGGGGGCTGAGGGCTAAGTCTCTCTCTCTCTCTCTCTGTCTCTCTCTCTCTCTCTCTCTCTCTCTCTCTCTCTCTCTCTCTCTCTCTCTCTCTCTCTCTCTCTCTCTCTATATATATATATATATATATATGTATGCATCGATCTCTCTCTCTCTCTCTCTCTCTCTCTCTCTCTCTCTCTCTCTCTCTCTCTCTCTCTCTATATATATATATACGTATGTTTGTGTTGGTTCTCTCTCTTTCTCTCTTTCTCTCTCTCTCTCTCTCTCTCTCTGTTTTTTTCTCTCTCTCTCTCTCTCTCTCTGGTCTCGGTTCGGGAGTCTCTGACCCAGCTTGCACCCACAACACGAAGCGCCCAGCATGACTGTTGATCGCATCACGACACTGCACACACGCCATCCCAGCGTGCGACTGGTTTGTACTAGCCTCCCTTTCAGAATCTGCGCACGCCATGGCTCCGACAGGTCCTCGTCGCGCGCTTCCTGCAGCACGGCAGCCCAAGCCACAAGACAAGGTCCGCCAAAAAGCTTGCCGGAATCTGGAACGTACAACAGTATCCGTTCGATCCTGGAGGCCTCCACCCCCCGATCCCCTGGGATGCTGCGAGCAGCGATCCTCCTTCCCTCGACCCTCGGGCCTCGATCCCTCGACCCCCCCATGCTTCGCACGTCCGCCCTTCGGGCCTCGAACCCCGACCCGCGAGCCTCGAGCCGCGCCCGCCGCTCCGCCACCGCCGCGGCGGCCCAGCTCGGGCGCGGGCCTTCTCTATAAACGTAGCTCGGCAACGCGCTTCTTAGAAACACCCCTGCTTCTTAGAAGGCGCGGGCCTTCTCTGTAGACGTCAAGCCCAGGCCTTCTAAGAAGCAGGGGTGCTCCTAAGAAGCCTCCCCCCCTCCCCGTACCCCCCTTTTGCGCGCCGCCAACCGGCACCCTGCCTCCGCCCCCCCCCCCCCCTCCTCCGCGGCCGGCGGGCGAGGAGCCCCCCGCCGCCGCGAAGGGGAGCAGCTGTTGGCTCTCTCTGCCGCCCGCCGCCGCCTCGGCGCCGTCCGGCCGGCGGCGGAGCTGCGGGGCGCCTCTCCTGGATGGGGCAGCTTGGAGCTTGGCAGCGCTCGGACGTGTGCATTTCTCCTTCGGCGAGGACCAGCGAGGAGCATCCTTGATGATTTGGAGAATAAGCCACGCACGAAACTGAAAAAAAACACGGGAACTGGACGTCCGAGCGATGGCCAGGGAGGGGCAGCTCTCAGTCGTTCGGGGTCCCCTTGGAGGGCCTTTTTGAGAACTCCGGGAACATAGCCCCCCACTTTGTTTTTCAAATACGGTTTCATTTGTCCTCGCGACACCCACTGTCTTTTGGATTTCGGTAAGATTTGCCTTCCCCGCCAAACATTGTCAATCGACATACGGACGGATGTGTCCCGCGGGGCAACATGGTCCCGCGGGGCAGCTCCTGTCCGCAGATCTCGGCGATGCGGTGGGGGCACCGGTTGGGGCATGTGCCCAGGATCGAAGAAGAAAGAGCTGCAGAGGCATGACTTTTGCGAGCTCCGCGCGGCGTTCTTGGGTCGGCGCTGGGCCCCCCATGGCGGCGCCTCCGGCACCGCACCTGGCGCTTTCCGCGCGCCAGGGATGGGGGAGAGGGGGGCAGCGCGGACCCAAGAAACCCGCACGGTTTTCCAAGAGTTTAGTGAGGTTAATGGTATGTTTTGTCTTTCTAAACCTTGCAGGGGGATTCCTCATTTGATGAGGGCGGCAGTGATTACCATGACCGATGCACGATTGGAGTTCCACCGGCTTCCAGACCCTGGGCTCCTCATTCAAGAGCCTTGCGCCACTCCGCCGACCCCCAGAAGAGGCGTGGAGTCCACGGTTGAGGCGTCGTGGGCTTCTTGGACACCATTCGGCGACTACTATGGGCGTTTTAGGAGCTGTTTGGGCACCTGGTGGAATTTCTTGGAGGCAGTTTTGAAGCGTCTTGGGAGCCTCTTGGGGCTTATTGTGGGCCTGTGTTGGGCCGCTTGGGGGGTTCTTGGGGCCTTTGGGGGGCCTCTTGGGGCGGAAAAATAAGATCTTCGGTTCGTGTTCTTCTTCTTGGCCTCTCTTCGGGCCTTCTTTGGGCGATCTTCGGCCTTCTTCGGGCCCTCCACTCCTTGGGCCTTCTTTTGGGCGATCTTGGGCCCTTCTCGGGCCGATCTTTCGGCCTCCAATCTTCTGTGCCCTCCGACGCCATTCGCCGTTAGTCGTGGTCCTGTGATGCGAAGCGGGACTCACCCTAAGGATGGCGGTCCGCTTGATTCTGGCCGTTGGGAGAGGACTCTTGGTCTGGAACGGTTCTTCTGACTTTTACGCCTTGTCAATTCGACAGCTCAGGCTGCCTGCTGTGGGGAGGTTTGCGTGTGTGTGTGTTTGCGTGTCGTTCGCAGTTGGCACCTCCATCTGTCGACCGCGCCTGAGGTTCCTCTGCGCCGCCGGCTTAAAAGAGTGTGTATGTGTGTTTGTTGGTGCGTATGCGTGTCTGTGTGTCTGTGTGTCTGTGTGTCTGTGTCTCTCTGTATCTGTGTCTCTCAGTCTCTGTGTCTCCGTGTCTCGGTGTCCCTGTGTCTTTGTGTTTGTGTCTTCGTGCGTTGTGTGCGTGTTATGTGTGAGTGTTGGTGTGTGTATGTGTCGTGCGGTGTGCCTTGTGCTTTGTGCGTTGTGCGTTGTGTGTTGTCTGTGGTGTGTGGTGTGTTGTGTGTTGTGTGTGTCTGTGCGCATGTGTGTATTGTGTGTGCTTGTGCTTGTGCTGGTGTTGGTGCTGGTGCTGGTGTTTGTGGTGTGCGTGCTTGTGCTTGTGCCTGTGCTTGTGCTTGTGCTGGTGTGTGTGCGCGTGTGTTCAGCTCTATCGTTGGTGCAGCCAACTCTGCCTCGCCGCCGACGGGAACACAATGTGTGTGAGTGCGTGTGTGTGTGTCTGTCTGTCTGTCTGTCTGTCTGTCTGTCTGTCTGTCTGCCTGCCTGCCTGCCTGCCTGCCTGCCTGCCTGCCTGCCTGCCTGCCTGCCTGCCTGCCTGCCTGCGTGTCTGTGTGTCTGTGTGTGTCTGTTTGTGCCCGCGTGCCTCCGCAGCGGAGGGCCTGGCCGCCCCCCCTCCTCTGTCCGGGGCGTGTGCCCCAGACTTCCCCCCGCGGGGCCGCCTTCGCTGGCCCGAAGAGCCCCGACGCCGCCTCCCTCCGCCCCCGTGTGTCAGTCCTCCTCCTCTCTCGAGGAGGGGGGAGGGACGAGGGAGGGAGGGAGGAGGAGGAGGAGGAGGAGGGAGGGAGGAGGGAGGGAGGAGGGAGGGAGGAGGGAGGAGGGAGGAGGGAGGAGGGAGGAGGGAGGGAGGAGGAGGAGGGAGGGGAGGAGGGAGGGAGGAGGAGGGAGGGAGGAGGAGGAGGAGGAGGAGAGGAGGAGGAGCTCCTGCCTCCCAGCCTCTGCCCCTGCTCGTCAGCCTTCCCTGCCCTTCTCCCTCCCCCCGCCCCCCCCCCCCTTGTCCATCTCCTGTGCCGCGCCTCCCCCCCCAGCATTATGTCGGGCCTGTCCCTGTACAGGGGGGAATATCCAAAAATAGTTTTAAAATAGTCTGGGAACCATTTTTGTGACTCTTTTTGAGCATTTTTGGAGTATGTTGGGGGTATCTTTCCTTTTTCGTCCAAAATCCGCCTGTAGGGGGACACGCCCGACCGAACCCCAGCATGCAGCCTCGCCCTCCCGCCGCGGCGACCTTGAGGCCCACCCGAGGCTCCCTCGAGCTGCCGCGCTGGCCGCCGGCGCCGGCCCTCAAGAACTCATCCCTCTGCGTGCAGGTCTTACGCAGCAGAATGCCAGCATCATCCCTCCCCCGCTCGCGCGCGAAGGAAGAAGGATAGAGGAGAGAGAGAGAGAGAGAGAGAGAGAAAAAAAAAAAAAGGAAGAGAGAGAGAGAGAGGGAGGGAGACAGAGAGAGAGAGAGAGCGAGCGAAGAAGGCAAACAAGGGTGGGCCGGGCCTGGCGGTGCACCCCGCGCAGGTTCCTCTGCGGCGGCGCCCCCTGCGGCCTCGGCCGCGTGGAGGGCACTGGCCCCGCGCAACGCCCGCACGGGCCGGGAGACGAAGAACGGGCCGGCGAAGTCGGGGGATGCATCGCTGTTTTTGACGGCGTAGCGCAGGAGGAAGAGGAGGAGGAAGAGGAGGAGGAGGAGGAGGAAGCAATGGCAGTGCTAGTGGCAGTCGGTGCCTCCCGCTCAGAACAAGCAGCCACGCGACACGTAGCAACACTTCACGACCCGACTTGCGCTCTTGGCGTTTGCCGTTATTTCAGATTCTTCTGCTCAAGGCGACACATCATTGGATTTCCAGGCAGACCTAGCCGAATACATTGAAACACAAGCCAATGAGCAAACAACATGCCCATCTGTGAACGCTGGCTCCGTAGACGGCAGGAGGGAAGCAAACACATCGCCCCAGCACAATGAGCGACGAGAAACACTGGCAACCTGTATGAATGGCAAAGCACATATGGAAACGCAGCTTCTACGCATAGGCTTCACAATCATCGCGCACGAGGCTGCACCGTAGAGGGTGCCGGCCGACCCGAGTATACGCGCAATAGTTCGCGACGCCGCTGGAAACCAGACGCTGGATGAGTCGTTGAGGAGGAGGAGGAGGAGGAGGAGGAGGAGGAGGAGGAGGAGGAGAAGGAGGAGGAGGAGGAGGAGGGAGGAGGAGGAGGAGGAGGAGGAGGAATAGGATCCACCCGAGCCTTACTGCCCAGCCACAATCCACTCATCAAAGGTCTTCTATATAAGTAGTTTCGCAGCAGCCGCCCGCGACAGGCCACGCAGGGAATCTGAAATCCTGACGCTTGCACAACGACCAGTGTTCCTGGTGCTCTCTACAAATGCCGCACCGAGCGCAAGCGACAGGGGCGCTTGATATACAATTGCGAACCACAGAGTGCATCTACCAAATTGATTTGGTTGATGACCACACAAAAGAGTCCGTTCCCAACTGCAGCTCCAGAGTTGAAGTCTGCCCCAGCAAACTGGGTTTGGTTGGGCGCAGCCCGCCTGGACCTCCACCAGCCTGGGACGAACACCGCCCACGAAGCGCAGGAAGAACCAATCCAAGTGCATCAATATAAACTGTCCTACTGCAGCCCCAACGTTGAAGCACGCCCAGGCGTGCGGGGGTTGCCGGGCACAGCCCGCCATGGCTTTCAATTGGGACGGACGCCGCTTTCGGAGAACACGGAGGAACCACGGCCCAGCCAGCACCAGCTACTGAGGAACAACAGCGTCAACAGCCTGACTCACACGTATTACGATTCGCTCGTCCCACCATTCTTGGTCGACTGGAGTATCGTGCCAAAGGTGCCAATTGCAGTACTTAGTTGCAAGCACACCGCGACAAGATGCTGGGACGCGACGGCGAGGTAATCCAGAAGCCAACATGTAGAATGGCTATGGAAGCGCCGCGGGCCGCTTGTTTTGAGGTGGGGAAAAGAGCAGCAGGAGCAGGAAGGAGGAGGAGGAGAGAGGAGGAGGAGGAGGAGAAGCAGGGGAAGAAGGAGGATATGGTTATTGTTCGGGACATGGTTCGACCGAGAATTTTCACCACAGGTCTGAGCAAACACAGCTTCTGACTCCTTGTACAGCTTATCTGCACAGGAGCCCCTGATTGTCCGCCCCTCCTTGCATACGCCTCAGTCAACCCGTGGACGTCCGAGCACATCAACAAGGTGTGTCCACAACACATGAGCGAACAAAGGAAACGCACTGCCTGTGAAACGTATGCGTAACAGCGCAGTGCAACGCAGACATATGCACATCGAGGCCCCACCAACAGCAATGTTTGTGGCTTCTGCGACTTCGAGACTCGAAGACAGAGAGTGATACAAGTGGCTGAGGTAGTTCGACAAAGCGACAACGTTGACTGTGGACACAACGGATTCCACCTGTCATCGCTCGACCAAGCAAGAACAGCAGGACCCAAGCGTCACATCACAAGCATATGAGACAGTGTTCCTGGGTCGCTGCTTCGGCATGGGCGGTACAGTGCTGCGTAGTGCAGCATCGGCCCTCACCCCTCTCGACCGAGAGTGCAGATCTGTTTCACGTCGTGTTCCTCTTGGCTCGGGGTGCGGACGGCGTGGGCGCGAGCTAACTTCGCGTGGATGTCTGTCTGTCGCGGAAAAAACAGCGCGTGCAGATGATTCTTTCGACGCTACAAAACAAACAGTACCGGAGTGGAGCTTGTAGGACAGCTGCCCCGCGCCCCCCTTGCTTGCTCTTCGGGCTTTGGCCAGGTTCAGCCCTCAGCTCCAAGTGTTGCGCGCCTTCGCGCTGTGCTCCTTGCGCGCCAGCTCATCCACCTCGACCCCCCCCTCCTCCCTCCTCCTCCTCGTAGTAGCGCGCTGAAGTGAAGCCCCTCTCGAGTCAACAGCCTCTTCCGCTCAAAGGGGCACTGCCCTCGCTGCACAGGCACGTCAGGTCCCAGCCCCTCGCTGCCGACCCATGCCGGGCTCCCCATTTAGAACCTTGCGTTTGCTACAAAGGCATTCGAAGTCATTTGGTGTATGTCGCACCTCTTCGCGCTCTCTCTGTTTGGCGGCTAGTTCGGGGTGGGTTGGCCGCGGGGCTGCCCCAAAGCTGAGGGGGATGTTCTTTTATTGTCCCTCTCCTCCCTTCCTCCCTCTGCCCCCAGGGGCAGGCGCCTTGTGCCGGGGGGGGATCTCGGCTGGACAGCAGCGACTGCGACCCCAGGGCCGCACTGGTCCTGTGTTTTTGTCGCGGCGCCGGCGATCGCACGGCGCGGGATGGCCCAGGCGGGGGCGTGAGGTGGCAGAGTCGCATCTCAGAAGGCCGCGCGGGTCACACGTGCTCGCGCTCATGCTCGATGGGTTTCGGCATCATCGGGAGCACGGGCGCGCCGCGCATGATCGCTGCATGATCAGGGGGTCGCAAGGTTTGACAGAAGGCGGCGGCAAGTGCGCGGGGGGCCAGCAGGCGCGACCAACAGATCAACAAATGCCTTGGGGGGGGGGGGGGGGCGCAGCGCCCCAGTGCTCGGGGGCCTCCGCGAGGGGCGGCACCGCGGTTACTGGAGGAGGAGACCAGACTAGGAACGACACCTTCATCCCGCAATGGATGGAAATCCAAGCTTTGATCGCGCACTGGAGCGCCCAGGAGGACGCCGCCCCATTCTCGAACCAGGTGGAGCAGTACGTCAACGAACTCAGCGATGGAGCCTGCCAGCCGTTCATCGACACACAGGCCACCAATGTCATGTTCGACTCCTGCACCATCAACAGGAACATCCAGATGATGATGAAATACACCACGTGCGAGACATGATGGGAGCTCAAGGGGGCCGTCGACAGGGCCATCAGTACCGCGCCTGCCGACTTCACCAACACTTCCAGGACGGCCAGCGCGGTGGTCCAGCTGCCGCCCAGTCTGACCCACAAAACATGCAATGCGCCAAGTCCCACGGGCTTGCTGAGCGTGCACACGCATCTCGCGTTTCATACGAGATCGACTGCGTCTGGTCGGGTCAGGACCACCCACAGCGACAGGGGCATCCACCAGTCGGAGTGGGGCGATCTTCGCCGCGCCTGACGGATCCTGCCCAAGGGGCGCTTTATGGGGAAGATCGACGGGTTGAAAGTCATGCAATGGAATATAGGAAAAGTCTCGCTTGCTGAATTCCCAGGCGCTGTGCGTGACATTCGCAGGCGGCACTGGAACCCGACCGTGGGAATCAGTTTGCAGGAAGTGCCACATTGGCCGGAATACCCAGAGCTACATGGGCAGGAGGGTCGACACGCATGCAAACCGCACGCAGCCAGGGCGCCCACCAAACGGAATTCGAACAGCCTTCAACGACGAAGAAAAGTTCATCAGCATTTGCATTACCTTCGCCATGTCAAACACCGTGTAATTGGGGGGCAATCTCAACGCGCACCTTCCCGCCATCGTAAATTTGGTTGGCCCCGATGCCGATGGATTTAGGAGGGCCTGGTCCTTGCCTGGAACTACAACAGTTTATCATCGAGCTCTTGAGCTGCATTCGATGATCCACGTCCACTACGCGTGCTGGCCTCCCGGACCACGCTACGCAATGCCATCGTGCACGCCGCGCGCGCGAGGTTATTGACGACGACGCCGCGTCTACCAGTCTGACCGTCAGAGGCAACCAGGCCGAGTTCACAGCCCCGTCTGGTCGTCGCTTCGACGACTCCCCGCTGACGGCAGTCATCTCTCATTCCTCCAACATTGGCTATACTTTCAGGAGGCCCACCGTTCGGAGGTGGGGCGTCTAGTTCGCAGATTGTGAGAAGCACCGCCAAAACGTCGCATGTGTTTTCCAGGGGGTCGCCGAGCTGGGGGCCGTCTACGAATCAGCTGTTTCCAGTGCGCTGCGCTTCCGCTTCGCGGCAACCGCTTTGAGGTCCTGGCCAACGCTGGCAGGCGCGCCCCAGCGTGAAACAAATGGCAGTTGCCGAACACGCGCGCACGATCGACGGCAAGCAGGAAGCCCGCGAAGACACGGAAAACTTGGCGGCAGCGGGGGAGGCGGCGGGCGCGTGTCCAGGGCTCCGTGGCACCCGTCGTCATCTGGGCCCGCTGCGGTGCATAGCGGCGGCTATGACGGCTCAGCCTGGCCCCCGCTCAAGCTTGGGCTTCTGTCAGGCGGAGCGGGAAGCAAGGGCGGCCCCCGCGGTCCGCGCTGGATCTGCAGCTGGCGCGGGCGTCGGCGCAATGAGGCACAATTCTAGCCCCGCAAACATTGCGGCGCGCTCGAGGCCGACGCTTGCACGGAGCAGCCCGCCGGGTCGCCATCTGCCTGGTCGCAAGGCTCCTCTCGGGCCTTTTCCCTTGGGACAGGCGCCCTCTCCGCGGGCGCTGACGGCGAAGGCGCCAGTGCTACAGCGCCCCCTGCAGCGCGACAGTCCTCACTCTCTCCTGACGAACATGCGAGCCTGGCTGTGCTGCTCGAGGAGTCAGGGGGCGCGCCTCGTGCGGCCCACAATCGATAGCTGTCCAAGCTTGCCCCTGCCGCCAAGGAGCCACCTCGTCAATGGCGCGTTCCAAGATGCGGCAGGTCGAGAAGA